GGTCTTATCATACAAGTGTTAGAATAAAGTTAAAAATAACTAGAAGCAAAGATGGTTTTATTGGCAAATGCTATAAACTTTTATTTAACTGGTATTTTTGTTGCACATATGTAAATCTGAAGAGTTGGCTGCTAGTCAATATCAAACAAGTTTGCTTTAAAAAAAAAACAAACAGTACATTTTTAGTATGGATCTAAAACAAGTGAATATTCTGAAGAGTTTCAGTATATTTAAATATCTGACTAATTCTCCTGGCCCCAATGTATTACTAGCATGACAATTTCTGGTAACAAAACCATTAAAAATATACAAGAAACTAAACAATTTTATGTTAGAGCACTATTGTATTTCAACACATAAAAACGATTCAAACAAAGCAGCTATATATTTACTGTTTCATTTGGTTCTATTCTATAGAGAAAAAAAATTTACCGATTCCCTCTGCCCATAATTATATATATATATATATATATATATATATATATATGTGTGTAAAAAGACAGGTTTCGTTAAATAATTTAGACATGTTCTGTCTACTTATTCTCAATAGGATCAATTAATATTCAGATAAGCTTTTTTTTGTGCAATAATTAAAAGATGAGAGGAAAATACCATGTTGGCTCATATTGTGTTTATTCTGAGTACTTTCAACATAGTATAATGTCATTATCAGGGTATTGTTAATTATAGAGTAAGAATTTAGTGTTCATGGTTGTGAAGGACAAAAATCGTTGTGGTCATCCGAAAATTACCATTTTTTTTATATGTGGTGTCAGAACACTGTGTTATGGCTTGGGTGACGTGGACACCACTTAAAAGGAGGTGACTAGGTATGCTGTGGAAAAATTCCAGATTTGAGTAGCTTTTACTCTTCCCTGGCCACTTGTGTGTTACAGAAAACCAACATCATTTATAATTTTAAATGCCCTCTAGGAGAGTGCATCTCCAACAATAAAAATAATATCTATGGACACACAACAACAATACTTTCACGTAGGCTAAGTCTTCACCTTAACAACACCGGCAATATTTCTAAACATTTACAACATACCTGTCCACACTAAAAAAAAAAAAAAAACTCCATACTTTTCCACAAAAAGAATAAACACAAACTAAAAATTCTTGAAGCTATTTATATCAAAAACTTGAAACAGTTGAAATAGTTTTTCCTTTATCTAACAAAAACTCAAGTCCAGAATTTTTCCATAGCATACCTAGTTATCTCCCCCTTTAATGGTGTCCACATCATCCAAGCCATGACACAGCAGTAATGGTAATTTTCAGATGACCACCACAATATCTGCCCTTCACAACCACAAACACTTATGTCGAAAGTACTTGGAATAAACACAATATGAACCAACATTGTTTTTTCCCCTCGTCTTTTCATAACTGCACAAAAAAAACTTATCCACGAATATGAAAGAATCCTATAGAGAATAAGGCAGGACATGTCTAAATTATTTAACGAAACCAGCCTTAATGAAAATATGCTGCTGAAGTGTGTGTGTGTGTGTGAGACTGATTAATAAGAATCAAAAATATCAGAACTTTTCAGGGTATCAAGAACAATTAATTTTTTAACCTAATTTCCGTTTCCAAAAACAATTCTTTGGATATTTATTTATTTTTTTTTTGTTTAAAACTTAATTTTTTATTCCTGGTATTAATGCTATCATGTGCAACAGAGTAGATATAGTCTAAAAGATTAAACTTTCCAGATCACATTTTCAAGACCCTATTGCATCCAGACTTAGTCCTCTTTTCAAATAAATTAAAGAAAATTATTATGTGGGAATTAACAGTCTGTTATGAGGACAATGCAGAAGAAGATACGATGAATTACTGGAAAATTGTAGGCGCAATGGATGGAAGGCAAGTTGCAAGCCAACTGAAGTAGGCACAAGGGGTTTTGTAGCAAAATCACTATGCAACACCTTAACAGATATTGGGATAGTGGAAACAAAAAGACGAAGAGACCAGGCATGTCAAACTCAGGGCTGCATCAGCTATATCTGCAGCCTTGAGGGCCGCACTTGCTTACAGTCTTACATTAATCACAGTTAGTGGTAACTAAACTTTAAATACAATACAAGGTAGTGCAATTTAATTATTTTTATGGTTGTCCTGATGATTGACATCACTTTAGACAAACTATTCTCGATATATCAGGTTGGAATGCCTGTGTAGATCCCCACTTAGATCAAAGATGACAAATGTTCAGTTAATCTGGTTCTGTGAGATGTTTTTGTGGCCTTCATAAATTAAAATAACTGCTCACAGACATGTGGAACCAAACACCGCCATAATCTTTGTGGCAAACTTTCTGAAATTCTTAAATATCTGAGGAAGGTATGAAAATAATCTGGTTACCCCTACTTCTAGGTACTTTCCCTTGAGTGTTGCATCAGTCTGCATTTCCAGTAATTCCATCTGTAGACTTTCCTCTGCCTGAGCAACATCAGAAGTGAATGGTGCTAAGAATAATGCAAATGGATTTTCACAAGATGAAAAATCACAAAATCTTCACTGAAATTCCTTTGACAGCAATTCCAGGTAATTGCTGTACTTAGCAAAGATAAATACAGACTCAGTATTGGCAGTTTTTTTTCAACTCCTTGCACATAGGAAAATGAATCAAGTTTTCATGTGACAATTGGGACTTCAATAAAGCTAATTTTGCAATGAAACACTTGATATCACCATATAACCGAGTGATGAGCTTATTTTTACCTTGTAATTTCAAATTAAGGTAATTTAATTGGGCAGTAATATCCACTGAAAAAGCTAGACCTTGAAGCCAGCTTTCATCTTTCAACAATTCATCTGTGTATTGACCCTTCATCTCCAAAAAATATAACAATTTCGTGCCACAAAAAAAAAAAAAAAAAAAAATAAAACAACCTTTTCAGTACCTTGTGACATGAAAGCCACTGAACTTCTGTATAGAATGGGACATTTGTGAACTGATTATTTACATCTTCTAATAACTGGCTAAAATGACAGTGATGCAGAGTACGACCTCTGATATAGTGACAAAGCAGAAAGTATTATTGTTGTAATTAGGGCGTCTCTCATTTTTGAAGTGCATACTGAAATTGAATTGTCACTCCTAAATTTTTCTAATCCATAGAAAAATGCCACACAAAATTTTAAGGAGATTGCATAAATATTTATTTTGAGTGTCTATATTTTCGAGATGAGGTATTATGTACATTATTTACATTATTCAGACTATTGTCCTCATCTTTGTCGCCATATTTATCAACGTTTTGGCTGTTGTACGTTCCAGGCTTCTTCAGATAGTAGGAATTTCAAACTGAACCCTTTATTATGCTCACTGGGGTAGACTGTTCTAGTTCCACATGCCGTGTTTGATGGATGTCAGTTATCAGTTATCTCCTGCTAATTTCCCTCTGAAAGTTATCTACTGCCTTAACCGAGTATTGAACTCACACTCTTTGGGTCCTGTCACTGGATCTAACCAATGACTTTATCCACTGTGCCATGTGTCCAATAATGTGTAAATAATGTATTTATTTTGAATCTTTACAAATTATACACATTAGAAAACTTGAAACATTCTTTTAACAGTGAAAATTTTAATTAATGTTTATTATTTTCAAATCCCAATCATGGCAAGTGTATCCAATGCAAAATACAAAAGTGTAGTTTGAAGTTGTTTTTTTTTTTAAAGATTTCTGATAACCAAAGTAAAGCAATATGTCAACTGTAGCTAAGTGCTTAAATGATTTACATAAATAAATTGTTCTTTGTTTAAACTCTTACCCAATTTTTTTGTAAGTAAAAAGGACATCTAACTTTATTTCATAAGCTTTTGTTTATTTTTTTTACTAAATGTTTTATTAATAAACATACTTTGTTCATTAAATTTCCCAAACCAATGATACAGCCTGAAAATAATGAATTTTAATCACTGTAGGTATTGGAATTGGAAATTTAGAACAGCATCAAGAATTGTATCAGTCAACAAAAATATTGGTATTGTCCCATCACTAATGCACATTATATATAATAAAATAGTTTTAAGGTATACTATATGTATATGGGTAAAAGTGCAATGAGAGTGTATTAAATATAAATGGACAGGTCAACACCAAGCAGTGACAGTGTTCCATACTCCATCTTCATGGCCTGAAGATTGTGTTAAAAATCAGTGCTATATATATATATATATATATATATATATATATATATATATAGAGAGAGAGAGAGAGAGAGAGTGGGGGTAACATTTTCAAAATAATATGAGAAAAAAGGTTTCAGCCCAACACTTTTCCCAAAATCTGACCAGACAGTTTTATTTTATTTTTTTCTTTAAATCTTTTGGTCAGTCTGAGAACTTTTCAGTACCTCATATCTTTAAGAGAAGAAAAAAAAATCCACTTATTAAAAAATACTTTTAATTTTGATTTAGCTTTCCAAGGAAAATTAAAGTTAAAACCAGTGATAAGCAATCTTTTGTATACATAGTGAATTTTGAAAGAAAAATTCAACAACTAAAATTAGTGATGTCATGAAATTTGCCAACTTTGCTATAAGTATTAATTCAATCAATCAATATCCTCATGTATTCATGTAAGATTTATCAAAATGATTCAATTTTGATGAACAAATTTCATTGTTTACAGTTCAATCAATTTTCAGCATTTGGAAAATTAAGGACTCAGTAATTTCATATGAAGTTATTTTCAGCATCTTCAGTTATCGAGCAATTTTTTTTAGTGCTGAGGAAAAAAAAATTACTGAATCTATGAACAAACAACCAAGAACTGAAAATGAATTATTTTTTGACATGTTCAAGGCATTTCCAAAATCAATTTCTTTGATTCAAAAAACAAAAATGAATACTTCATATTTTTCAAATGAATGCAAATATATACAAACATTTAAATTTTAAATGTAGAAAATATAACAGCATAGTTGGTGGCAGGCATATGTCATAGGTAATCAAACAGAATTAAAGCTTAGTAACTCACCTTTTTAGTCAAATCTTCTTCCTGTCGCTTCTCATAATGTCCGAAATCATCAAAGATGGACGTTGAGTGCCGATAATTATGGAGAATTTTCAGCACTTGTTTACCCTTTTCTGGTGGCACCTCTTGGGTGTCCCGTGAATTGGTAACTGGCTTGTTTTCATTATTTTCCAAACGAATATGTCGTAATTGACTATTTGGCACGTCCTTGACGTAAATCCATTTCACCTCAAATTGCCCCTTCCACTTATCTTGGGCCCACACTCCGCTATTGGTGGAATAGTCCACTGGAGACATCATTTGGGCCATGCCACAAAAATGTCCACTACCATTCACACTATAGAAAAGGTATACAGGACCCTTGCCTTCTCTCTCTCTGTAAGCCCCATCCAGTCTCTTGTTACCATGCTCAGTGCTGCACCATATGTTATATTTTATTGATCGGTGAATATCATCCTCAGAATAACTTTTTATGATAAAGAAACGAGCCCCTTTTGGATTCAGGTTGAAATCCTTTGGGTTGTATTGGTTTACAGATCGCAACTTTTCCAAAACTGGGTGAGGTAAACTTGGGGAGGATGGAGGTCCATTCAGAGAGCCAGAGTTACCTGCATTAGCAGAAGGCGGACTTGCATTCCCTGAAGGAGTGTTATTGTTGTAAGATGCCACTGTGCGCCGTGGAGCACTCCATACTTGTCTTCCCTGGTTGGCTTGTTTACTTGAATTATTGTTCTTGTTATCCCAAGTGCCGATGTCCATACACTTAGATGTCATGGGAGCACGGGGCATAGAGCGTGGTTTTATTTGTGGCTGAGGTCGTGCTGGCTGGCTAGCAACAGCAGCCCAAGAAGTCTTCTTTGGCCCCTGAGGAGGGGAGGGTCCAGCAGAACCTGATGGTCCCACCTGGATGGAACCATCAATCACTCCTGTTTGTACAGTGTCACTGCCTACACCATCTGACAACTTCTTGTCTCCAGTGATGCTCATGCCTTTCAGTCCCTGTTCAACACTGTTCATTGTGTCACGGTCCTGATCTCCATTTATAGGACCGTAGCCATCAGAGATCATATCAGTGCTGTAGTAATCCTTTCGAGTGGCATTATTCCAGTAATCACTGCCATTATAGTCCCAACCAAACTGTGCATAACCAAATCCACTGAAGACACTGCTGTAGTCATAGCTTCCCAAAGGGAACACACCTGCATCTCGTCCACTTGACCATGTTGCATCCCCAACACCTTGTCCCAGGTATGGGAAAGATATTGGTTGGTTATAGTAGTTGGGTAAAAATGGCTCTGATACTCCTGGACTTGACATTGGGCCAGTTCCATATCCTCCCTGAATAACCAGTAATCCAACAGCATGAATATGCAGGTTGAAGGGGGAAAAAAAAAAAAAAAAAAAAGCATTAAAAGATGTCAATGAATATATATATAAAAATAAATAAAACTATTTTTGAAACTAACCACTGGTATATTCATTAAAAAATCTTTGCTACTGAAAAAAAAAAAAAAAAAAAATTGCAAGAGAAGTTTTAATATTAATGAAATCTGTAGTAAATGCAACAATACTAAGTATCCCTCCCCACTAAAACCAATCAGTCATCAATTAAAGTTGAGAAAAAAATGCAAAGTTTATATTATATATATATATATATATATATATACAAACCTATATTAAAATAATTTTTAAATTTCACTTAACAGATCTAAAAGATATTCTTACATAGATACCTTCGTAAAATTGCTATTAAAAAAAAAAAAAAAAAAAAAAAAAAATAAGAAAAGCATAACATGATGAAAAAGATGCCAAACTTGACGAAAAAATTTTATCATGTAAATGTCATTATTAAGAGGAAAGACCAAAGTTTTTTTTAAATTAATCTTTAAAAATTTTCCCTTCTTTTTAGAACATTCTAAATTTTGATTGAAAAAAAAAAAAAAAAAAAAAAAAAACCTTGTTTCTCCTTGTATCACCAGAAATAGTAAAATAACTTACAATTTTTAGCACGTTTTGTTTTGCACGACACAAATTATTTTTCGAAAATCTTGCAAAAATAAAAATAATTTCAGAAACTATTCAGATGGAAATTGTTTTTTTTTTTATTAAAGTCATGGCAGAAATGTTTTTATATATATATATATATATATATATAACCCCCCCACCATAACTAATTTTATGAAAACTCTAGAATTTCAGTCACATTCAGTTTAGTGGTTATATTAGTTAAAAGCACAAGGCTTTTAGGAAAGTAAATTTTTTTTTTTTAAATTGGACCCCCACTACCTGAAATCAGCCCCGAATTGTAACATACAAAACTCAATAAAACAAAAATATTATTTAATTTCAAATGCTTTTAGTCATTTTTATGAATATGGACAATATTTTCTGAAAGCAAAAATTTTTTTCCATGAAAAATGAGTTTTTGATACAATTATTTGTTATTTCTTTGATTATTTTTGATTTTTACATTTAAGTTGTTAAAATATAAAATTAGTTGAAAGCCGCATTCACTTTTGTAAATGCCCTTATGAATAGATCATTTTTTTTTTTTTAGAACTTTGTAAATTGTATCGCTTCGTCCAATCGGAAGACCTGCAGTAATTAAGAAATGTAATTTTGTGTTCATAAAGGTCATTAAAATGGCTATAATTAAAAAGTATGGAAGGTCACAAGCAACAAAACGTCACATGGCTTGAGTGTAAGTGTTCTCCGCTGAACGCCCATTTCATTATTGCAAATTCTTCATGCAAAACACATGTTGAGCATTTTTACTTATTAAAAATATTTGAACACCATTCTAAGCCATTTTCAGCAGCAACATTACTGCATTATTAAAAGTACCATTTATTTCATTTACATATTTCATTGCAATTTCAATTTTGTGAAATTGTTTTACAGTTTTCAGTGAGTTGTCTTATTTCAATTTTATGAAATTTAATCTCACTCTCAAAAGTCTTAATTTAATTTCTTTATAATATATTTTCCATAAAGCATCATAAATGTAAAGGTGAAAGCTAAGTACAAAAAACAAAACAAAAATTGAATGCTGAAAGTTTTCCTTAAAAATAACAAGGTAAATAATTTGTTCAATCAAATCTAAATAATTTCACTTTTCTCCTTCCATAAAATAGATTACCCTCACGTAAGCTATCAATACTTCAAGAAAATGCCTGTCAAATGACGCAAAATGTTATGACCTGCTTTGTTTTATTTTCAAATTACATCTTTCCGGAGCAGAAACTAAGTTAAACTTGTTTCAAAATATAATTTCTAACTTTCTTAAAATAAGTTATGGAAAAATTATTATTAATTTTTAAAAGAATTTCAAACTGTGATTTTCATTTTTTTCTGTAAATTGGAAAAAAATGGCTGACATGATCAATCATCTGACAATTTTTCTGAGAGGAAAAAAAAAAAAAAAACCAAAAATACTTTGATCATTCTTCTTAATAAACATTTAGACAAAGTTTTGTTTCTGACAAGTTTGGTGTCTTTTTCGTCATGCTATGCTGTTTTTTAGCGATCTCATTATGGTATCTATTCTTACACTATACATGACAATTTAAATATTTAATTTGAATGTAACAATCTGTTAAATTTATTAGCAATGTTGATATGGGGAAATTTCAGAAAAACTAAATTTTGATGTTTAAAATTTCACTAAAACTGGTATTTTCTTTTTACATTTAAGCTAACTATGAAACTAGGATTTAATACAATATGAAAGTTTTCATCAAGTATTATTTAAAAAACATCCTGCCTTAACTTTCCTTCAGATAAAGTATCTTAAAATAAATACAATAGTAAAACAAATTACAGAAGAATGCCATTCTAAGAGCATATCACCTAAGTTCAATTACTTTTAAATTAGCGGCAAATATACAAATTATAGTTTTGAAATTTATATGGCATTTATGGGGTGTAGGAAGGCTGTTATAACACATTTTTCTTTGAGCCAATCATAGGGAATATGAATAGAAAAAAAAAAAAAAAAAAAAACTAACCTGATTAGACTGGAGGCAACTCCTCAAATAGGGCGAATCCTGACAAAGACAAAATAGAGAGAATTTAAGAAAATAGACAAATTAGTTTCTTGAAAATTTAGTAATCTGCAAATTAGAATTCAAGAAAAACAAAAAAAACTTATCGAAATTTATATTTCGATAAATGCTAATTTGTCATATTTCACATAAGTAGTGTTTCCACAGATCTGTGTAAACAAAAAAACAAACAAAAAAACAAAACACTCACACAAAGAGAATGGTCATCAAAAACACAAACTGTAATTTATCTTAACAGTTTAACAGAGGAGATGCTTAAAGAAAAGCTACAACTGGTTCCAATAATTCATGTGACATGGATCAGCTGAAAGCAGTGAAGAAATCCAAGTGTTGAATGCTAAAAGACAACTGAATGCAGGCTGTTATGTTACACATTTTGTATAGCATTCTACACACTTTGAAGTTCTACTGAACTTGATAATTTTGATTTATACACTTTAATTCTTACTGCTACACATTTCTTGTGAAGTATAATGGTTTTAAGGAACAGAACTACAAATGGAAATTTTCACAAGACTACACATTTTAGCTACTCCTGCAGTACATGGCATAGAACACAATGATGTCAACATTTTTTCAGTTCTAGTTTTGCATTCAGCTCCTCTTCCAATTTGGATATCTCTATGGATTTGTCCTTTGCAGATCTTTGCATGGCATTGAATGTTGCGACAGTTGTGAAGTTCCAAGTCTGCTCAGCTTTCCTCACATAGCAGTCAACTGACTTGAGCAAATCTCGTGCAAGGTCTTCAGTTCAATTTCCATAAGCATGGATTTCAGTTTTTATCCATCTGCTTCATCCTGTCTTTTTTTTTTTTTTTTACTTCTCATCCTCAAGATAGTGATTATATACTGTTCTGGCATTGGAAGCACTGCAGAGAAGAGACTTAGTAATGAGAACATTCCCAGTACCTCCAACTGTAGCTAAATAGTCCATGATAATGCATTGTGCAACCAGAGTGTGCTGATCCATATTTTTAGTGGAAAATCCCTTGAGTGAGAAATCTCTCTACTGAGGTATGAGCAATTTGCTAACAACTTTCCAGTTTTTGATATTCTTTATTGCTAGACAAGAAAAATAGAACAAAGTTTCCAGACAGTCTTCATGCTTGCTGAAATTTTTGAAAGCAATATTTCCAGCTGTCACCTTCCTGAACTCTTTATACTGCCCGATGTCATCACAATCTGACTTATTTTTTGTCCATCATGCCTTCTGTGGCAGATTTTTTCCCCAAATCAAAGTGACCTTACAAGAGGATATGTAAGGGGAAACTTTGCCAGAAGTTTCTCAATGATGGTGATGAACATTGTCTTTCTTGCAATTCTGCATGCAAAAAGACTTTTTGTTGATATTTCCTCTTTTGGATAAATTTTGCATAGCCCTATCTGCCAGAAATCCACACTTGATCTTTGCAGCATCTTTACACATGTTTGGGTTTGACAAAAATTTTTTACGAATTCATTCAGTTTGGAAAATGTAATTATCTTTTTAGTAGGTATTTCCACTAATTTTCAATACCCAAGGTATAAAATGAATTTTTATGAAAAGTTTTCTTGAAACTTACATTGAAATCTAAAGGATTAAATTTGCTATTTCCACTAAGCAAAATATTCTGGTGTATTTCAAACAGAAATTGTATTGATTGGAATTGATTCGTTTTTATTTTCTGAAATAGCTAAATTAACACCCATTTTTAGTAATCTTTCATTGCAATGTAATTCTCTGTATTAAAAAAATCTTTCAAAAATAAAATATACTTTTCTGAGGAATATTAGCCGATTTATAGTATAATTAATCTGATTTGAAAAGAATATTATTTACTTTAAGTTTAGAATAACACAAATGTATTTTTAAAACAAAACAGTAGCTGTGTTTTTAACCGACATTGCCAGGTTTTACATAATTAACGATGTGATGACCAGTCACATGATAATGATTGTTGTTCTACGGAAAGATTATTTGTAAAACAGATAATGAAAATGATGTGAGCACCTTTCTTTTTTTATTATTTAATTTTTAAATACTCAATAACTTTAAAAAAAATGTAAAATATTCTGCATAATCTAAATTTCAGGAATGTTTACTATAGTCAACAGTCTTATTTTCTGATAATGTTGTGTATGGTCTACCATACTTTCAAAAAAATGGGCATGTCAGACAAGAGACATTTTTCTTAAAAGTACCATTTTATCTTATAAAAAGCCAGATTTTTAAGGATTTCGAGGTTTCCAGGGCCTGTACAAACCCTGAATAAGACTGAAAACCCACTAACTTTGAACTGAGCCAACAGACACACAGTTTAAACATTTCTCATATTACATTAATTTTTAGTCTTATATTTCTATAATAGCTACTTAATTTTTGGAAGATTTTTAATTAAATCAAAAATTTACAAATAGAACCATCATCATTGCTACAATTTGTAATGATTTTTTAAAAATTGAAATAAATAACAAATTATACCATAACAGTAATGTTTGTGAATTTCCTGGATAAAACAAATTAAAAAGAAAACCCATTTTTTGTCATTAATTCCCAAACTGCAATAATTTAAATATCTCATTTAAAGTTTAATTGTAAGCGAACAGCTCAAAGTAATCTATATACTTAAAGCATGTTTTAGGGATTTGTCATCCAAAATTATAATTTACAGTAGGATTTAAGCCTGCTTAAATTTAGAGCATCTCAAGGAACAGTTGAAATACTGGTGGCCAAAACTGGCAAACTTGTTTAATTTGTGAATATGCTAAAAAAGAGCCATGGATAGCCATAGAACTTTATTTTCCTTACATGTTAAATTTTGTATGCAATATTAACAAAAAATAAATTAATAACTTTCTATTAAGAGATTTGATCCCAAGAAAATTAGTTAATTTAACGATTAATTAAATGAATTTTAAAACAATGAAATTTCATTTAAAATATAGTAAAAAAAATACATTTCTTTATTATAGGTGGAATGCTTGTCAAATCATTTCAAATGGTCAAATTTTAGCTGTATCACCTTCCCATATTCACAATTCATAAGGTTTTACTAGTTCAAATATGAAAGAAAAATTACAGGCATGTCACCGATTAACAAGCTTATAAAGAGGATTAACACCTACAGTGAGAGAAGTTGCAAATTTCCAAATGGGCTGACTGGAAGGTAACCAAGGAAGTAGTCAAATTATTTGATACACCTATATAAATTAATTGAAAAAGATCTTAAAATGTTTTTCCCAATTTTCTTTAATAACCATACCCATTGTATTTTGTTAAACTTTGCAGTTCTCAGTTATTAGTGATTTAAAGGACAATAACCCTACTTTCTTTTTTCTTCTGAATAATTATTTTTAGACCCACAAAATGTACAGTATATAAAAATAAACAACTAAAATATTTCCAAAACAACATTATAGTTTTATTGCGGTTTTTATTTTCATATTCAGAGTATAATTCTTTTCGTTACATCTTAGTTTTGAATAAAATTATTTAATTTCCTATGGAAACTTTTTGTTATACAAATGTTTTTACAGTCCAAATAATATTTAAAACAAATAAAGAGGTTTGATTGGGTTAAATGAATAAATTACATTATTTTCTTTATAAATTCATTTGTTAAGTAAAAAATTAAAAAAAAAGTTTAAAATCCTATAATTTTGGTAGTGTTTTAAAGCTTAAATCTTCAGAGACAAAAATCTTAAGAAAAATCCCCTCCACTTGCTGCAAAAACATTAAAATTTAAAAAATCTCCAATTCTTCTAAAGAATGCTAAAGAATATAAAAAGTATTTTCCCCATGATAGATATAGATATATATATATAAAAACACTTCTCAAAAAGATATTTTGAAAGGGTTTTTCAGTCAAAGAGTATTTTTCAGCAAACCCTCACCCCGGGGACAGGCCAAATTGAAAGGTGGCCCATTACAAAATATTGTAGCTTTTTTTTTTTTTTTTTTTTTTTAACAATTACAAAAAGTCATGGTTCATTGAATATTGTCAAATTTTCAGATTTAGTGGGTTTGCTACTTTAGCCAGTTTGCATACATTTCTATACTTGAAATATCTAGCATATTACACTCATTCAAAATTATCATTTACTGATGGTTTGCAAGTTATTCCATTAAATAACAGTAGATATTACAGGGATGAATTTTTTTTTTTTTTTTTTTTTTTTTTTATTTCCAACTGAATATAAAAATTTGAGTCAATTTTGACTCTTGAAATGATGAAAAACATGAAAGCCAAGTAGCAATATATTAAACCAACACATTTTTGAAAAACAATCATTTCCATTTCAGTAGGTTTCAGACTGCCTCTTAGTATTTTGGAAAATTTTCAATTTAAAATAGGTATATGCACGAGATCGCTAAAAAAAGCGTATAGTCTGATGAAAAAGACGTCAAACTTGACGAAAACAAAATTTTATCGCAAAAATGTCTATGTTACGAGTAAGAGTAAAGAACAAAGTAATTTTTTAATTATTTTTTCAAAATTTTCTGTCTTTATTACAACATTCTAACTTTCGATTGAAAAACCTTGTTTCTCGTCATCACCGGAACTCTAGTAAATAACATGGCAAATTTTTTTGTGCATTTTTTTCTTATGACACATTAATTTTGAAAATCTTGAAAAAATAGAAATAATTGTCAGATTTTAATGAAACTTTCAGAAACTATTCAGAAATGATGGAAATTATTATAAATGTTATTTTTTTTAAAGTCATTATAAAATATATTTTTTTATACATATATTACCACCCCATAAATGAATTAAAGAAAACTGTAAAAGTTTATGGACGAAGCAGGGAAGTCATTATATTAATAAAAACACAAGGCTTTGAGGAAAAGTAAATCAGGTTTTCTTTTTAAAAAATCCGAACACGTAAACGCGAAAATCAGCTCTGAATTGTAACATACAAAACCCAATAAAACAAAAATACTATTTAATTTTAAATGCTTTTAGTTGCTTTTATTTGTTTTTATCAATATGCATAATATT